AGGCCGGAGTCACGCTGGATGCTCGCATTCCAGTGTGAGGACTGTTAAGGCTTCCCCACCACTGCTCTGAAAGGAAGCCCGATAAACCCAGTGATTCCCCAGAGTGAACTCCAGTGTAATCATGCCTTGATTTGTCATTGGACCTCAGGAAGAAGGAACAGGCAAATTCCATCTCCCCGCCCCAGGAAGAAAATTTCACAACAGGCTTACAAAAGGGTGGCTGAGAAACTGCACAGCAGAATAAAAAAGCTTGGATGACATGCTCAAGAATCACAAAGTTTACTGTTTTCTTTCCCATCATTTGGCACATATCCAAGGCACATTAGAAAATTAGAAATCATAAGTTACTCTGTAGAAAAATAATCAGCCCCTGCCTCCTACACATCGGCAAGTATCTCCAAGAATGTGCACAAAATCACTTCCTCTTTACAAAGTCCTTTGAAAACTGACTTGGGACGAATCCATGTTTACAGCTTTAGGATCCGGAACATAAAAAAATAATAGAATCTATAGAAAGTTATAAAAAGGAATCGATGGCAACGGATTCTAAACTTAAACTCTGACCTGGCTTGTGCTGTAAGTTTTGAATTTGAATCAAAAGACTTAAGATGTGCCAAAGCTGCTCTCCAGTAACCATCTTTCAGGTGTGCTGTGTCAGGCTCCTAACGGAAGGGACAGTCAGCAGAAACTGCTACAGGTCCATGTGCGGTGACCAGAGTGTCTATGTTGTTGGGAAAGAGGCGGCCGCTTTTGGTGTAGAACAAGGCAGAATGGTAGTCCTTTTCCGTGAGATCAGAATGGCATCCGGGCACTTGCCAGCTCAAGTGTGTCCAGGCTCCATCCCAACAGGATGCTTCTCTGCCTGGCATCCAGTTCCACAGGGCTGACCTGGCTTTTCTGGCTTCTCCCGGACATGGGGATCCTTCTTGCATAGGGTTTGCCCGCAGCCAGCCAGCACCTTCCAGCCAAAGGAGGTCAGAATCTGATGGTAAAGCCTCTGCCCATAACCAGGAAATCCACGTACTAAGATGAAGGGGCTCGTTCATTCCCTACTAATCCTTTTCAGGTGTATTAGTTAGCTTTGAAGAAGAGGAGAGAGGGTGGTAAATCCGAGGGACAGTCTCTCAAGCTGGTTATTTGAAAGTATACTTAGTTCTAAGCTGCATTCATGCTCACCATCTTAACTGCAAACTGGGTAGCAGATAACACCAACCCTGACTGCTAAGACTGAGAAACACTAGCCTCTTGTATGGTCAGGTGGCCAGTCACCTCTGAGGCCTGGGGTATGGCTGCGTCATTGACTGTATGCCTGCGGACCATCCGCCTGTGTCCGGGAGCAGCCTGCCTTGGCACAGGCCTCTCTGGGAGCCCCTTGTTTCCTTCCTCAGAAACCTGACATCTTCTCTGGTCTGACGATGGGTCATTTGGAATTCCCGAGACTCTCTGCTTCTCCGGCTGAAGAAAAGATAAAACTGAGGTTATGGCCGTACTGTTGTTAAACCACCACAGCAACATCAGCTCAGCCTGAGGGTGTCAGACGGCACACTGGGAACCCCACAGGCAGTGACAATTTGGTGTCCCTGTGGTGAAGGCACTTGTCATGCTTCATGTGACACACACAAAGTGCTCTGTGTGTCTCTAATCAGTATGTGCTTTGCTGCTCCTGCTTTTCTAGCGAGGAGACCGTGCAGTAAGGGGCGTCACACTGTCACACAGCGAGGGAAGAATGCCCTCAGCCAGGTGTGTCCCGCCCAGGAGCAGGGATAGCAGCCAAGCTATGGAAAAGTAAATATGAAACCAAATTTTGTCACACAAACTGGGCACAGCAGTTCACACCGGTAATCCCAGCCCTTGGGAAACCAAGGCAGAAGATTACCATGAGTTTGAGGACAGTCTATGTTACAGTATGAAACTCTGTCTCAATAAAAAAGGGGGGCACCAAATCTGTCACACTAATTCTCAGGTAAATTGTCTAAGACGATCATTTGTAAGTTTTATGCGTTTGTCCCAGCGTGTGATATGTGCGCCATTCTTTCTCTACAGCAGCTGGGAAAGGCAGAATAGATTGGACATTGGGGATTTTTCTAATTGACGGATTCAATAGGAAGCTGGGTACATAAAGAACTATGGGGACGTGTGTGTGTGTGTGTGTGTGTGTGTGTGTGTGTGTGTGTGTGTAACATTACGTTATAACCTATGCACACACTGTCCTTATTTCAAATATTAAAAGACAACATAATCTGGGCTGTTTTGCTCTGTTCACACTGAATTGTAGCTTTCCTGTGTATACCGTGATTTTCCACTTTCTACAAGGTCTCACTCTGGAGCCCTGGCTGTCCTGAACTCTCTCTGTAGACCAGGCTGACCTCGAACTCACAAAGATCCATCCTCCTCTGCCTCCTGAGTGCTGGGATTAAAGGTGTGTGCCACGACTTTTGTTTACTCAGAAGTCCTCACTCTGTCTGCTCCAATGGAGAGCTGGTTTCAATTGTTGCTAATTCTTTCAATGAAGGAGCCAGTGAAATGATGACTGTTGAGAAATGCTTACTGTGGATTTTTGTTTTGTTTTGTGTTTTTTCAGGACAGGGTAACCCCACGTAACAGCCTTGGCTGTCCTGGAACTCACTCTGGAGACCAGGCGGCCCTCAAACTCACAGAGATCCCGCCTGTCTCTGCCTCCAGAGTGCTGGGACTAAAAGTGTGCGCCACTACTGCCCAGCTCTGGATTAGTTTTTAAGAAGCCGGACCATGAGCCCTTACCATGTAATCACTCACCTCCTGCAGAGGACATCCAGGAAGATCAGGCACACTTTTATCCCTTCCCATAGTTTCCCTTGAAGTTCTTTCTCTGAAATGCAAAATAAACCAAGTATTAATCCAAAAAAAAAAAAAAAAAAAAAAGGCAACCATCTGGGTAACGGTACAAAGCCTCCCGCTGGACACAAGAGGGCAGCATTGCATGCACAGATAAAGCCACAGGTATCCCAGCATCCCCTGGAGGCTAACCCCGGGTCAAAACCAAAGTCAACTTGAACTAATTACTCACTGGAACCGCCCCCCGGGGTTAATGAGGCAAAACTGTCTCCTAAAAGGCTCTTCTGGCAGATTGTACATTCTGGGATTCCCTGTGGGGGGAACAGTAAAATACATGAAGATTTCATAAGTAAAAGAGAACTTTAAAACTGTAGCACCTGCTGGATTGTGGTGGTGCACAGCTTTAATCCTAGCAGCAGGTGGATCTCTGTGAGTTCAAGGCCAGCCTGGTCTACAGAGAGAGTTCAGGACAGCCAGGGCCACACAGAAACCATGTCTCGAAAAACAAAACAAAAAACCTGTAGCACATACAAGTTCTGTGATTTCCTAGCTTAACAAAAATCTAGAAAACAGTGCGGAATCTGCTTTAAACCTGGTACAGAGCTGTTCCTTGCGAGGCAAACCCTGGTAAGACAGAGCTAAGTCTTTATACTGATGCTCCTCAGCTGTGGCCGGTTATTTCAAAGGCCACCCTGGGATTACCTAGGAATTGCAAGTGGGTTTATCTATGTGGTTGCAACTGTATTCAAACTCAATTTGAAAAGCTCACAAAACAATCCCTTTTAAATAACCTTCTTAAAAAGGGAGTACTCAGACACTAGTAACCATCAGCCTTGATGCCCTGCAAATTAAAACCAAGAAAGGCTAGCGAGATGGCTCAGTGGTTAGAGGGTGTATTACTGCTCTTAGAAAGGACACACTTTGGTTGGCAGGTGACTGACTCACAGCCACCCGGAACTGTGGTTCCAAGGGACCTGTCGCCCCCTTCTGGACTCCATGAGCACCTGCACCTGTGTGCACATACAGACATGCACATATGTACATAACTAACAAGATCTTAAGAGGGCAGGTGTGGCAGGAAGTGGCCTGCAATGTGCCAGGTTCTGGGTTACACCCTCATCCCAGCGGAGAAAGGAAACACCCATAGTGCAGTGGTTCTCACCCTTCCTAATGCTCCACCCTTTAATACAACCATGAAACCATTTTGTTCAAAAACAGCTCCTCGCCTGATGAATCAGGATCTAGCATGGTTTCTATGGTCCCCGCACTCCCCCCCGCCGTGACGATAATTAATTAAACTTTTCATTTGTAATGAAATGAAAACAGGGCTGGGGGCGTGGCTCAGCAGTGGAGCACCTGCTTGGCACCCGTGAAGCCATAGGTTCATGCCCAACACCACAAAAATCCTGAAGGGCTGGGGAGACAGCTCGGTTGGTTGGTAAAGCGCTTGCCATGGAAGAATGAAGATCTGAGTTCCTGCCCCAGGACCAAAGGCTCAGTGGTCAGAACACTGGCTGCTCTTCCAGAGGACCCTGGTTTGGTGCCCAGTGGTCACTCCAGTCCCAGGGCATCTGAGGCCCTCTTCTAGGCTCCAAGGGCACCAAGCACACACATACATGGTACACAGACACAGATGCAGGCCAGGTGTGGTGGTGCACACTTGCAATCTTAGCACTGGGGAAGCAGAGACAGGTAGAGTCCTTCTTTAATTGTCTGCCAGCCTAGCCTACTCCAGAGGCCCCAGCCTAGTGGGAGACCCTCTGAAATACAAGCTGGGCGGCTCCTGAGGAGTGACCCCCAGGGTTGATCCCCCTTCCTGCCCCCTCCCTCTCTGTCTCTGTCTCTCTCATACACACACACACACACACACCCACACACACACACACGTTTTCTCCTCTCTCCCTCTTTTCCTCTCTCTCTCTCTCTCTCTCTCTCTCTCTCTCTCTCTCATTCCCCCATTCCCCCCTCCCTCTCTGAAATGCACCAACTACTCATGAATTTCCAGATGGAGAATTTAGAAGCACTGACACTTTTTCCTGATCTTAACGGTCACACCTTCCTTGTGGTCCGTCTCGGTGACATTGTTTAATGATGATGCAACACAACTTGGCACTACCTGCAGCAACTCCATTATCTTTGAATCCTGCAATGTAAAAGAGGGAAAGGCATTGAGCAGTTTTAATGTTTTCTCAGCAGACTGTTACTCGGGTTTCCATCTAAATATAATATACTGGGGTGACTGAACCCTCGCTCTAAGAAAGCTCTGAAAAAAAAAAAAAAAACAGCAATGAAAACACATCCAGACCCTGCCCCATGCCCATTGTCCCAGCACTTGGGGCTGAGGATGAGAACAGCTTGAGCTCAGGAGTTCAAGCCTGGGCAACAGTCAAACTCTGTTTCAAAGATCGCATTCTTCATTTAGGAGAAGCTCTGGCCTTCACAGGAACCCCAGCCTGACATTAAGCTGCTGCACACAGTTGGGGTGAACACAGAGGGCTGCTACTATATGGTTATCAGGTGACTGCTCAGGAGCCACCGCCCAATCCATAATAGAACATACTTGGCACCATCCATCTCTGAGAAAGTTCTAAACAGAAAGTTAAATGTTATCTGGTAAGTAATATCGACCCTCACCGATACTTCAAGGATAGCCAAAATTCACCACCACCCTCCACTCAACACACCATCTCTAGACTAAGACAATGAGAGGAAATATTTGCAAGTGTTTCCTTTTGAGGTGCTAGGGATGTTAACCAGGCCCTTGCACCCCCAGCCCCTCACTGGGGGATTCTAGGCAGGGGCTCTACCACTGAGCTACACCCCAGCCCCTCACTGGATCTAGGCAGGGGCTCTCCCACTGAGCCACACCTCCAGCCCCTCACTAAGGGATTCTAGGCAGGGGCTCTCCCACTGAGCCACACCCCCAGCCCCTCACTGGGGGATTCTAGGCAGGGGCTCTCCCACTGAGCCACACCTCCAGCCCCTCACTAAGGGATTCTAGGCAGGGGCTCTCCCACTGAGCCACACCCCCAGCCCCTCACTGGGGGATTCTAGGCAGGGGCTCTACCACTGAGCCACACCTCCAGCCCCTCACTAAGGGATTCTAGGCAGGGGTTCTCCCACTGAGTCACACCCCAGCCCCTCACTAAGGGATTCTAGGCAGGGGGTATACCCACTAAGCCATGCCTCTACCCTTAAAAGTTAAATAAACCTACAATTAGGTTGGATTTATAGGTGACTTTATCATCTCTATTGGGTCAATCAACAACCAAGTAGCTGTCCTTTTGGGGTTTAAAGCCAAGATTTCCCTTGAAGACAGCAACAGAGGAAAGCAACTGTCTTTCCCATGATTGACTGGAGAGAGTAGTGGGGTGGGGATCTAAATTCCTTGAGAATCTGAGGGACTTAAATCCACAAATTAAAACTTTCCATGATGCCACAGGGCTGGCAAATCCAGAATGGCATCTAACCTGCCACTTCCCAGATGTGACAGCATCTGTGTGTCCTAGACCAAGGTGTCTAACAGTGGCCACTGGTACATACCCCTCCTTCACTTGGGCCTCTCGAACTACCCTAGAAAGGATGAGCACCGGCACTTTGAGCACGTCCAACCAGGTGATAGTATCTGGCCTGGCCAGTGGACGTCTGGCATGCTCACTCAGCACAGGACACCCAGGACCCTGGCTGCTGCCACCTCACATCTGGTTTGAACACAAGGGATCCACAGTGTGCTTCGGGGAGCATGGCGCTGCCTCAGTGCACACGCGCTCCGTGTCACCTGCTCTGCACAGTCCACAGCCGTGTACTGCCTCTTGTTCAGGATGTCAACAGACGCTCCGTGAAACAGAAGCAACTCCACCACCAAGGCGTGTCTTCCCATCACTGCCTCGTGCAGGGCCGTGTTGCCTCTGTTGTTGGAAGCGTTGATGGAGGCTCCATGCTAGGAGAGAGACAGGACAGGAGATGCAGAATCTGTGTGACTGCCCACCATAAAATTACTTTTCAGGGGGGGCTGGAGAGATGGCTCAGAGGCTAAGAGCCCTGACTGCTCTTCCAGAGGTCCTGAGTTCAATTCCCAGCAACCACACGGTGGCTCACAACCATCTGTAATGAGATCTGGTGCCCTCTGCTGGCGTATAGGCAGACATGCAGACAGAACACTGTATACGTAATAAAAATAAGGAAATAAATGTTTTTTAAAAATTACTCTTCAGAAATGTAGCTATTGGTGGAAGTACATGTATACCACAGGAGGAATAGGGCGGTCAGAAAAGAGTCTCTGGGAGTTGATCTCTGCCTCGGCCTTGTTTTTGAGGCAGGGTCTCCCCTTCCTGTGGCTTCACCGCACAAGGGAACATCTTGCTGGTTCTCCTGCCCCCACCTCCCATATCGAGGTAAGGGTGCTGGGATTATAGGCGAGAACCACAGGGCATCCAGTGTGCATGTATGTGAATTGTGTGCATGCCTGGTTGCTTTGGAGGCCAGAAAAGGGTCCAAATACCCCAGAACACTGATGGGTGTAAGCCACTATGTGGGTGCTAGGAACTGAACTTGGATCCTCTGAAAGAACAGTCAATTAGCTGGATACGGTGGGGCACGCCTTTAGTTCCAGCACTCAGGAGGCAGCGGCAGGCGGATCTCTGAGTTCAAGGCCAGCCTGGTCTACAGATTGAGTTCCAGGACAGCCAGGGCTACACAAAGAAACCCTGTCTCAAAAAAAAAAAAAAAATCAAAACAAAACAAAAAAGAAAAAAGAAAGTGTTCTTAATATGGCCGAGCCATCTCTCTGGCTCCAGAGCATCTACTTTTCACCTGGATTCTAGGGGTGGAATTTAGAATTTAGGTAGCTGGGCTTGCACAAGCAAGCACTTCTACCTGCTGGGCTGTCTCCCAGGTCCATAAAATTATTTTCTAAAGACAGGGTAGTAGTGATATATACCTTTAATGCTAGCACTCAGGAGGCAGGGGTAAGCCTATTTCTTTGAGTTTGAGGCCAGCATGTCTACACAGTGAGTTCAAGGCCAGCCAGAGCTACACAATGAGAACCTGTCTCAAAAAAAAAAAAAAAAAAAAAAAAAAAAAAAAAAAAAAAAAAAAAAAAAGAAAGAAAGAAAGAAAGAAAAAAAAAGATCTGATTTTGAGATGATGTCACTATGTAGACCAGGCTGGCCTCAAACTCAGGTCTCCTGGGTGCTAGGATTACAGGTCCACTATAAAATTTTTAAAAAACAAATTGGATTTTTTTTTGCCTTTTCCTTCAATTTTTAATTATGTTTGTGTGAGTCTGTGCGTGAGAACCTTGGTGCCTATTGAAGCCAGAAGCAGCAGGTCCCCTGGGCTCTCCTTTCCAGTGGTTGTGAGCTACCTGATATAATGTCGGGAACCAAAGTCAGGTCCTCTTCGAGACCCATGGTTCTTAACTGCTGAGCCATCTCTTTAGTCCCCAAATCAAGACTTTAAGCCACAATTTTCTTTTTAACAACAATTTCCTGTGTTAAACAGAAAAAATATTTTCTTAAATTGCTGTGGATCAAAACAATAACAACAACAAAACCACTAAGCAAACGGGATTTACATGTGAGGGTGTGCACTGGGGTGCTTCTCAGGGTGCACAGAGGAACAGCCACCATTTAACAGTTAGTTAAACAGTGACACTGTTGCATTTGGAGTATTTGTGCTGGCCACCAAAACTCCAGGGGCGCTGGGTAGTTTGTTCTGTTCTGTTTTTGAGTTGGCCTCACTAAGTGGCCTAGGCTGGCTTCAGTCTCTCAAGCACAGTGATCGCAGAGGGGGCCACTGTATCAGGCCAAGGTCTCAAGCAACAATTTTTGACACAAACAAAACATAACAACAATCTAAACAATAATCTAAAAAGTGCACATTTGGTTTTCTTTCTTGTGTTATGAGTATTTTGAGATGGAGTCCCTCTATGCAGCAGCCCAGGCTGGCCTGGGACTCTCAACCCCTCTCCTTCAGCCTCCCAAGTGCTAGGATTACAGGTATGGGGCACCATGCCTCACTTGGACCCATGTCTTGTTTCCAGCGTGTGGGGTGTGAGAAGGAAGCATCGGGCCCCTGCTTCTTCGGTCTCTGATCTACCACCGACGCGTGCTACTTTTCGAAAGAGGAAAGCAGGGCACGGACATTCCTCACGGTGCTAAGGCCGGGTCCAGACCTTCTGCTGAAGCAGCGCTGTGTCCCTGACACTGGCCCTTCTGCCTCAGAATCGCAAGCAGAAATGCAGGCACACAATTCATCATCCCAGAGACAGGTAGGCATAGGCAGGGTTTTCAAAAGCCTTGTGTGGGCCTGGGGGATGGCTCTGTGGTTTAGAGTGTGCACTGCTCTTGCAGAGGACCTGAGTTCAGTTCCCAGCACCCACGTCAGACAGCTCACAACTGCCTGTTAACTCCAGTTCCAGGGGACCCTTGGCCTTCTTCTGGTCTCTATGGGCACTGCATATACATGGTATACATACATACATACATACATACACATAAAATAAATAAATCTTCAAAAACTATAAAAACAGCCAGGCCGTGGTGGCACACGCCTTTAATCCCAGAACTCGGGAGGCAGAGGCAGTCGGGCCCCTGAGTTACGAACAGCCAGAGCTACACAGAGAAACCCTGTGGGGGGGGGAGGGGAGCCTGGTATGGCAGGGAGGAGAGGGCTCTTACCTGCAGCAATAGTGCAGCAACTTCATGGTGGCCACCAGAACAGGCGTAAATGAGGGGCGTGTTCCCGCCGAGGCCCTTTTTATCAGGTTTTGCATTGGAATCTAAGAGACATTTCACTACCTAGTGCGGAGAAGAAAAACTTCAATGTTAACTGTAATCCAGGAGAAGAACTATTTCTTTTCAGGTGAAATGGACCCTCTGGAGAAAGGAGATGACTAATGCTCTGGGGGCAAGTGGGGGAGCTCTGCACCCACGATGCACCAGGCACTGGGGGTTCCATCTTTATAGCTACCTAAGGAGAGATGCAGCCACTGCTCCCAACGCATGGTGGGAAGCGGTCTGCTGGTCGGTTATCTGCCAGAGATGCTCCTGCCTTTAATACCCCACAGTGGAGCATCCCAAGGCAAAGGAAAACATAAACACACAGACAACTTCCCTAAGAAAACGGACTTCAGGAAGCTACTAGCTTCAAAGCCAGGCGTGAAGGCACACAGCAGTAATCCCGGCACTCAGGAGGCTGAGGCAGGAGCATTGAAAGTTTGAGACCACGCTGAGTGACATACTAAGACCCTATCTCAAAACAAAATGAAAGCTAATCAATCATTGCCCACTTCTGCCTTGGACTGCCATACAGGGCCTTGATTGTACTTTATAAAATACTGAGCTATTCTGCAGATCTAAAGGGAGTGTAGTGGCCAGCTCCATGAGAGAGGATACTCACTCTTGCTTCAGTCTGATTGGCGGCAAGGAGGGCGCCGGTACCACCCCAGGTGTGTGGTCCCATTTGTGGGAAGAAGAGAAATGCACTGTCCCTGGGGCTTCCCTGAGCCCCGCCCCAGGGCAGTGTCGTCAAGTGAGGACCTTGGCAAAAATCAAGCTCGGCTCTGCTTCCCGGGAGATGGGGCTCATACCTGAAAGTGTCCCTGCTGGCAGGCCAGGTGGAGCGGCACAGCTTGGCTTGTGTTTCTGGCACCCGAGGACACTCCATGCTTCAACAGGAGGGAGACGAGATCCGTCCGGCCATGCAAGGCAGCCATATGCAGGGGAGAGGAGCCGTCCTGGTTGGTCACATTCACACCAAGCCCACTAGCAGGAACCTTTGCCAGTTTCTAGTAAAGGCAGAGGGTGGGCATAAATGGCAATTAATACTTAAGAGGCTGAGCCAGAGGTGGCAACGCAGGAAATCCCCTGTTCCCTCACAGCTCCTAGGCAAATTCTGGGATCACAGAGCGATCTGGGCTCAACACGGCCCACGGGTGACTTCCCACATCTTCGGAAGAAGATGAGATACCAAAAGCCTGGCTTCAATTTTTCAATAAAGTAAGCCCCCCACAAGGATGCTTTATCATGCCAGGCAAGAGCTCCAGAGGGAAAAAAAATTAATGAAATGTAATGAGAAAACCAAGTCTGTTCAATAAAAAGCCTGGTACACGGGTGGGGGTGGCGCACACCTTTAATCCGAGCACTTGGGAGGCAGAGGCAGGCAGATCTCTGTGAGTTCGAGGTCAGCCCAGTCTACTGAGTGACTTCCCGTCAGGGCTACACAGAGAAACCCTGTCTCAAAAATAGTAATAGGCGGGTTGAAAATGACCCAAGGAGGGATGATGCTCTGTCCCCATCACCTGACTGATCAGCCCCCAGGGGACGCCTGTGTCACTCAGGGATGGCCTAAAGAACTTCCTAGGCAGAAAGAACAACGCGTGCCTCCCACCCCACCCTGTCCCACTGATACAGGGACAGCCAAACCTTCTGGGCTGGAGCACACTTGGGGCACTGGCATAAGGGATGACATAATTCAAGATCCACCGTGCCGATGGCCTCATCCGGATCGTCTAGGTCATCCTCTGTCCACTCCAAAAGGTAACGAACCTAGTGGTGGGGCAGAGAGGAGAAGCAGGAGCTCCTTGGAACTCGGCGGTCACAGACAAAAAAATCATTTGTCCCCCAGCAATAAATCTGCATTCCACCTGTGTGCAGGCCACTCTAAGTCCCCTGGGTAGCACAGAGGGATTAGCCTATCATTTTCCAGAGGGGCGGACGGAAGCTGCTTGGAGGGCAGGCTTTCAGACCCTGGCCCTGACTGCACACTCGTATGCCAACTAAGCAGGTCAGCCCCCAGATCCGCCCTCCCCACCCAAGAGAAACCTCATGAGGAGTGCTCAGTGCTGTGCTCCAGAGCACACCCCAGAATCCCGACTCCCCCCCCCCCAACCAGGGTCTTTCAGCTTCCACATGCCTGCATGCAGGGGAGAAGCAAAGACACCCCCAGACTGGGGCATGCATGGGTCCCAGCACAGGCTGGAGGAATCAGGTCATTTACGGGTGGAGGGCTGTGTGATCTCTAACACTTTGCTCCCTGTCTCTCTCTCTATCATTGCATGTACGTTTGTGGGTGTGCATACATGTGACTGGGGCGGGCTGTCACATACATGCCACAGCCCAAGTGTGGAGGTCAGAGCAGAAGACAACTGTGAAGTCACTTCTCTCCTTACACAGGTTCTAGGTCAAGCTCGGGCCACCTGGCTTTTGCAGCAAGCCCCTCTACTCACTAAGCCATCTCTTAGGCCCTCTCTTGAGCCTTCTGGTCTGTCACAAGGAAAAAAATTCCTTTGCCACACAGGAGTCTCAACCACCACTATGTTCTGCCCAAACACACAGAACCCAACAACTCCGGTCAGTCTCCTGAAACCGTAAACTGCAATGATCTGTTTTCTCTCGAGCTGTCTTGTGACAATGACAACCCAAAGAGCAGACATGGCCCCACTCAATCATCAGTGAAAAAAAAAATCACTCTCTTTAAAAAAAAAAAGATTTATTTGTTGTTTTAATGTATGTGTGTCCCCCAGGTGCCCACATGCATGCCTGATGTCCACCGAGGCCAGGTGTTAAGATTCCCCCGGGGACTAGAGGAGGCGGCAGTTGTGAGCCACTAACATAGGTGCTGGGAACAAAGCCTGGGTTCTCTGTAAGCACAGGCAAGGCTCCAGGCCCCAAGCACACCTGAAAGCTGTAACTGTGCCCTTGGAAGATGACTCATGCAGAGCTCCGGGTTTGCTGCTTTCAGGAAGTCAATGGAAACTTCGGGTGGGAGCCCCAAGAAGACTGTCTCTACCGGCTGCTGCTGTTGTAAGTCCATGTCCCTGCCTGTGACATCCTAGAGCCCCAAGCCTGCCGGCCCAGGACTCCAATATTTCCACATTCTCTCATGCAACCCTGGCCTTGTTCGGCTTCCGCACTCTTCCCTTTCCTGTAACCTTGGTCTGGGTTCTGGCCAGCATCACTTTGACTCCCAGAATGGCACTGTCTGGAAGGCAGAGGCCATGCTTGCTATGTGATGGCTCCCTGGGAAAGTCTAGCTTCACCACGACAAAGTACATGCAAATTCTATGCAAAGTGCATGTAAAGTCCATGTAAGTTGCCACGGGGACCTTATAGAGAGGCCACATAGCAAGAGGTTCAAACAGAGGCAAGAAACATGAGTGCAGTCATCAATCAGACTGAGAGCTTTGAAAATGCTCTTTCCTGGGATTTCAATCCTGGTCTCCTGTCTCAGATGCCCATTCACTAGCTGGGGCGTTTTTTCAGATCACTCTGAAGACTGTGGAGCCTTCTAGAGTCTGGACCTGGCGTGGGATGTCCTCACTAGGGGCGTGCCTTTGGGGGTTCTACCCATCCCTGGTTGTCTCTGGTTCCCTTAGCTTCCTGGTCCACCCCACGCGAAGAGTAGGCCTCACAGTCCCCTCACCACGCTGTCTCTACAACATCGGGTTGAGCCCCCTTCCTCTTCCCTTACGAGCATCAGGGGCTTTGTCACAGTGACGAGAAAGACAACGCTCCAAAAAAAAAACTCACCATTTCCAGGTCTCCATCAGCAACTGCTCTCAGAAGCTTTTCTACCTTAATGGAAGGAAAACGTGAGTCAGGGAAACGGTTTCAATAATACAGCAGGAATGACGTTAGCGGTCTGAAAGCCTGGTGGCCTTCTCTCAGTCGGCAGCTTTCAAATGCATCCCGAGACTGTTCATGGAGAATCACAGAGCCCCTCCCAGTTCATATCAACCGGAACTGCTAATTACGAGGGAGGAGCCCAGGGCGCGCCTTCATGCATTCTAGGCGAGTGCTCTGCCGCTGGGATAAACCCCCAGTGCTCTTTTTACTTTATAATATAAAACACAAGTACATTTCTCTTCTCACTACGTTGTTCAGGATATGCCTCGAACTCACACTACAGCCCCAGCAAACCTTGGGTTGTGGTCTTCCTGCCTCACCCTCCTGAGCAGCCAAGGCAGTGGGTGTCTGAAGAAGCCAGCCGCCCCAGGTCCACTCCTTCATATACTCAACTCTCCTGCCTGAGAGAGTAGACATCCTGGCAAGAACCAACCCAGGCCTCTGATAGGCTGGGGGCCCTGTCTGGGCACACAGAGTCCTTTCCGTGACTCTGTATGAAGCTCACTGGAGGCCCGCCACCAGGAGAATGCTCTGGGGGTGGGCGATGACCCCACCAGGGTGGTCAGTGACCCACGAGAGGAGCAACGGGCACAGGGATACGATGGCTCACACCTCTGCTGAAGGGTGAGACTGAGCAATTGTGTGGATACTAAATAAGCATTAAGGATAAAAGGGAAAGGACAGACTGTAGACCAGCTTTTTGTGAGGCCTGTACATGTCAGCCTGTAGGGGATGACCTGTGCCAGCCTATTAACAGGGATGCTCACAGGGCGGGGCCAGAGGACATACTCAGAGAGCCTGAACTTAGAACTCCCAGATAGCTTGAAACAAGTACATTTTTCTTAGAAGATAGTTTGTCTGTTTCTTGTCCTGCCCCGTATCTGTGTCTCTGTCTCCTTCTGTGTGTGGCTCTGAGTCCCCTCCCTTCCCCCATCCCTCGATGCACACACATTCCAAGAACTGCTGTGGGGAAAAGACCTAGGAGAGCCAGAAAAGGGGAAGACAGCATGGCATGCAGCTGGGAGCATCTCAAAGGCATGCACCTGGGAGTAGAACAACCCAGCTAACTGGTAAGCGGGCTGCAGGCAGGCAGGCAGCCCCGGCCAGCCTGCAGCGCTGCGACTGGCCGGTGTGACACCAGGGCCGGCCTGCCCATGTAGGAGGCTCACCTCCCGGTGGTCCTTTCTGACCTCTTCTTGCCTGAGGCTTGTTGATACGGAAGAGAAGCTGGAGGTGGAGGAACCCTGGCTGATGGAATCCACGGAGCGGGTAGGGGACTGGGCAGGGACCTGTGGGAAGGCGCCACACGGGCATGGTCACAGACACGCCAGGCCTAGAGGAGGGGTGCAGGGCTCGTGACACCAGCAGGCACAGTGCCCCCACAGACTTAAACACTTTACCTCAGAAGGCCTGGGCCTCCGTTCAGAGGACAGACGATGGGCTTCCAGGATGGACAGAATCTAGGGGACAATGAGAACAGGAAAGGCATCCGATGAGGGTCTATGTGTTAGAAGGAGAGAATTTCTGATCACCACACACACACACACACACACACACTATAATTCATTATTTTTTTTTTAAGAAAAGCTAAAATTTTAAAATAATTGTTGAGAATTTTCCCACAATGTTTAAGACGGCATCTATTTCTACCAAATGTCAGTTTGTTTTATACTGGCGGTGCTGGGCTTCACAAAGGATCTGTCTGCTAACTGTCCCTGGCAACCATTTCTCCTCTTGTGAACAAGAACCTTCTGAAGAGACATTTTTGAGACCTAGAATATTCTATTACTAACTTTGGGACTGGTTGGGGAATCCTACTGAAGATGATGGCTACAACAGATGTCTCAGTCCGGTGCTCTCTTCCTTATTATTCCATTTACCTTTGCAGCTGGCTTGAAAACCTGGCAACAGCAAGAATCTCTGGGGGCTGGAGAGATGGCTCTGTGCTTAAGAACACAGACTGCTCTTCCATGAGGCCCCAAGTTCAGTTCCCAACACCCATGTTGGGTGGCTCACAACCACTTGTAACTCAGCTCTGGGGAGATCCAACGCCCTCTTTGGGACTCCAAGGGCACTGCATTCACAGAGACAGGTGTGCATACACATAATTTAAAATAAAATGAATAGGGCTAGAGAGATGGCTCAGGAGTTAGGAACACCTTACTGTTCTCCCCAAGGACCTAGGTTCCATTCCCAGCAGCCATGTTGGGTGGCTCACAACAGCCTGTAACTCTAGTCCCAGGGGGTCTGATGCATTTATCTGGCCCCAAGAATATAATATACACAGACACACATACATTTGAAAATAAGTTAACTTTTAAAAGATGCATCTTCCTCCAGATGGTGGCAGCACACGCCTTTAATCCCAGCAGTTGGGAGGCGGGGACAAGCAGATCTCTTGAGTTTGAGGTCAGCCTGGTTTACAAAGTAATTTCCAGGACAGCCAGGACTGTTACACAGAGAAACCCTGTCTTGAAAAAAAAAATCTTCCATTTAAAAATTAAAAATAAAAGCTGGGCAGTGGCAGCACACACCTTTAATCCCAGCACTCGGGAGGCAGAGGCAGGTAGATCTCTTGTGAGTTTGAGTCCAGCCTGGTCTACAGAACTAGTTCCAGGATAGCCAGGACTGTTAAACAGAGAAACCCTATCTCAAAAAACAAAAAACAAACAAATCTTTCTTTTTTTAGAAAGAAAGAAACCATGCCTTATGTCCTGCAAACCCTCCACACCCTAGGACAGATGGAAAACCCAGGACACCTCCTTTTCCTCAAGAGACCAAGCCTGGAGGCACGTTAATCCCAGCACTCAGGCGACTGAGGCAGGAGAATGAGAGTTCAAGGCTAGCCTGGGTTAAATACCGAGATCAGTCTCTAATTTATCAACTCAGTCATTCAAATTTGGGCCAAATTAAAATGAAGTTTCTAGAAGCAGAGATGAAGAGAGAGAAGATGGCGTTTGTCTCTGCAGGGTCTTGTCCTTCAGCCCTTCCCAGCCACAGCCGCCGTCTCAGTCCCACACAGTCCATTGGCTGGTACAGGCCCAGTGCTCAGAGGCAGCTCATAATGACAACACTGAGAGAAACTGCTCACAAAACCGAAAACTCTGTCAGACAGGAACCCATTAACATCAAGGGCCCGAATATAGCAATAGGATGGCAGCCGAGTGCTGTATCAGTCACCTGTTCTGTCCTTGGGGTTCTGACAGGACACACCCTCAGCGGCAGCCACTAAGAGCACCACGGGTGGGCCCTGCCCACCTCCTGTCCTCTCTCTCTCTCTCTCTCTCTCTCTCTCCTTTTCTCTGCTCCTCTTTCCTCTCTCCTGTTGTTCCTGCCCCCAGAGGCCAGTCTCCCCCCTCCCCTTTCCCCTTTTTTATGATCCCTTTCCCTAATAAAATCCCCTCTGCTTGAACCCTGTGGCATAGTGTCTTTCTCTCTTCATGCCACTTTTCTTTAATTACAACACTGGGTTCTGTCCTTGGATGCTAGCGTACATTTTCTCAGTAAGGCCAGTCTGTAAGCAGATTTTAGTTTTTTTTTTTGTTTGTTTGTTTGTTTGTTTTTTTTTTTGACACAGGGTTTCTCTGTGGCTTTGGAGGCTGTCCTGGAACTAGCTCTTGTAGACCAGGCTAGTCTCGAACGCACAAGAGATCTGCCTGCCTCTGCCTCCCGAGTGCTGGGATTAAAGGCGTGTTCCTGGCTAGTTATTTTTTTTTTATAGTCACATGGCTGCTCAGACATGGAAAGAGCTACCTTTGAGTTCAATGCACACTTGAGTGGTGTTTCTTTCAGTCTGTTCTGAATCTCCGTGGGGGCTCCATTCTGCAGCAGTGTCTCTATGATACCCTGGTAACCCCAGCGTGCAGCAATGTGCAGGGCTGTGTCTCCTTTTTCATTTCCAATATCCAATCTGCAGGTCTGGGCATCATAGTAGACCAGAGCCTTCACACACTGCAAAGACACAGCAAAACCATCATTCTCTCGCATGAAAGAAAGCCTAGGGCAATGTCAGTGCTGCCATGAGCCATGAGCCATGAGCCATGAGCCATGAGCCAGGTCCCGGCTTGACCAAGACTTCACTCACCAAGACAAAAATACAGAAACCAGCAGTTATAATTCAAGGGTTCCACATTCCCTGATCAAGACACTTCATTTTTTTTTTTTTTTCAAAAGTACCCAATTGACTCAGTGGTAGAGCCCCTGCCTAGAATCCGGGGGGGGGGGGTGGGTCTGTTTGGCCAGTGGTAGAGCCCCTGCCTAGAATCCCCCAGTGAGGGGCTGTGGTGTGATTTATTGACATAATCTTTGCCTTCTTGTCTAGCATGCAAGGAGGCCTTGGGGGAAATTCCTAATAACAAGCAAAACATGGCGGGGGCGGGGTGGGGGTGGGGCAACAACAACAAGAAAAATCACCAATTGCCAATTAATAAGAAGTGAGCAGCCCTGCTTACAATCCCAGTGTTTGGAAAGCTGAAGACGTTTGAGGCTACCCTGGATGACAGACCGGGACAGCCTGTTTCAAAACAAGCTAAAACATAATAAAATTAGTTTTCAGAGTTGTAAAACAAAGTTGGACTACTGCAGATAATTACGCATATTGGAAAAACCTTTAAGAAAATGAAATTGTAGAGTGGACTGCAGAACCATCCAAAATGAATCGCAAAGGAGGGGCCGGGCAAGCACTTACTAACAATGCTATATACAGATGGGTACCGCCAGCTACAACTTCCTGCCTGGATCACCACTTCTCTACTACATTTCCCAGAATCCTCCTTGACTCCTAGTCCCGCCTAACTTGCTGCCTCATTGGCCAAACAGTGCTTTATCAATCATCCAATAAGACAGACACATACACAGAAGCACTTCCCCCATCAAAAGGTAACCTCAGTTGGGAGAATGCCTCCATCACGTTGTCCTGTAGGCAAGTCTGTGCAGCATTTTCTCAGTTAGGGGTCAATGTGGAAAGCCCCACTGTGTACCTGCCACCCCTGGGCAGCTGGGTCCTGGAAGCAGGCTGAGCAAGCCATGAGGAGCACGCCAGAAAGCAGCTCCCCTCCATGGCCACTGCTTCAGTTTCTGGGTTCCTGCCCTGAGTTCCTGACTTCCCTTCATGCTATGCGGTGACCTGCAAGGTGAAATAAACACCCCCCTTCCCAAGCTGTGTGTGGTCATGGTGTTCATCACAGCAATAAAGACCCAAACTAGGACGAGGTAGGGGGAGAGAATACAATCCACACTGTTGTCACTTTCTGACCCCCACGCCTGCCGTGGCACCCATCCCATCACGAGCACGCGCGCACGCGCGCGCACACACACACACACACACACACACACACACACACACACAATAAAAAAAAGTAAATAAAATTATAAAATTACATGCCAGCATTTCAATAATTATCAACACAAACCACAACACTGGACTAGTCCCAAATGTATAATTCTTCACAAGTGAGAGATATGTAAAGCAGCGGTTGGGTGCGTCGGGTGTCACTTACATCCTCGTGCCCGTGGGTACAGGCCAGGTGCAGTGGGGTGTTGCCATTGTTGTCCTGCACCTCAGTGCTGGCCTTGTAGTGCAGCAGCAGCAGCTGGCAGAGGAGAGAAGACAGCAGCTGAGCCCAAGAAGGAGCACGGAGCACAGAGGCATCCACAAGTGTGTCCTCCCAGGGGTGGGGTCACGGCCCTATCTTAAAACATTGCACACACTAAGCACGCTTGGCCCTAAATCCAAAATATTATTTCCTTTCTTTTTTCAATATTAGGGGGAGAAACCCAGGGCCCCACCCATGCTATAGATGCTTCAACACAGAGATACACCCCCTGCTCCCCAAACCTGAAAAGTGCTGAGCTTTTGACATAACCCAAGTAGAAAATCCCATACCAGGTCTCATGGGACATGGGCCAAAGCAGAGAAACACTAAGATACTTACAACCTTATACAAAATTACCTTTAGGCTACGGGCCGGTATTCCAAAATCCGTAAGGATCCAAAATCCAAAACACCCCAGCATTAAGGTGCAGGATCCTCAATCTATACCTCTGTTAAACTATGCTATTGAGCCAGGCGTTGGTGGCACACGCCTTTAATCCCAGCACTCGGGAGGCAGAGGCAGGAGGGTCTCTGTGAGTTCCAGGCCAGCCTGGTCTACAGAGCTTGTTCCAGGACAGCTAGGACTGTTTCACAGAGAAACCCTGTCTCGAAAAACAAAACCAAACAAAAATGCCATTGCAGACTGGCAAAATGGCTAAGCTGATCAAGGCACTTGCCACCAAGCCTGACAACCTGAGTTCGATCCCTGGGACTCACGTGGTGGAAGGAGAGAACGGATTCTAACAAGATGTCCTCTGACCTCCACACATACGCTGCGGCTCACACGTATGTGTAAATATACAATACACACACACACACTAGGATATGTCATTGCTTCTGGTCACAACAGTGTTTAAAGAAAAAAACGTCTAGAACCCCGCCCTTCCCTCCCTGAGATGACCAGGAAGCTTCCCACCTCAACCCCGTCTCCAGGGAGGTGCCTCGGCCTCCGGGTTCCTTGTGCCTGGCAGCAGTAAAGCCAGCCCAGGAAGAGTGCACAGCACAGCCATGAAGTCACCATGCAGAGCAAAGTCGGCTGAACAATGCCACACACCACCCTGCTGCTCACCGTCACACTTTGGAAGCCTTTCTGACATGCCAGATGGAGGGGAGTGGACCCATGATAGTCCGTGGCGTTCACTATGGCACCTTTGGAGACCAGGAAGTCAATGAGGGATGCCTGACCTGCAGAGCAGAAGGACTTCTCACCGGTGGAGGAAGCAGAGCGGCTTCCAATGACAACACTACCTCACTCTCGGTGGCCCTGGCAGGACACCCACCAGGAGACAGGAACCAGGGCTGACATATGTCAGGCACTAAAACTTGAGTCACTGTGGGATGCCCTACAAAGGTATCACACCCAAGTCTACTTCAACAGGAGCCGGCAATGGACCAGGGGCTGGAGAGATGGCCCTGTGGTTAAGAGCGCTGGCTGCTCTTCCAGAGGACCCTGGTTCGATTCCCAGCACCCACATGGTGGCTGACGACATTTGCACCCCTAGTTTTGAGATGGAGTCTCACTACATAGCCCAAACTGGCCTTGAACTCATAATCCTCTTGCCTCAGCTTCCTGAGTGGCTGAGATTACAGGTCTGCACCATCACACCTGGCTCAATGTTGCCTTTAAAGACGGACGTGTGAGCCCCAAACCACAGTTCTGAGATCATCTTAGCAAGCACTCCAGCCTGTCCTCACTGGCCAGTAGAGTCTCCAAGCCTGGAGGGCCACAGGAGTGCTCCTCCAGCCTGCCAGGTGACACACTGGCTAACAAGTCCAAGGAGGGGGGGAGCAGGGGCAGGGGGACACACTTGTCAATCTTCCCTGCCCTGTGGGATGCACCCACAACACAGCCCCTGCCAGTACCCCATCAGCTGGGTCCCCACTGGCCCCTGGGGTACCAACCATCCTTCTGCCTCAGTAAATTCCCAGAAGCCAGTCTAAGGCCACATACCACAGAGGGCCGCCACATGGAGCGGTGTTTGACCCCTGTCGTCTCTGGAGAAAGGAGTGACAACTGACGGATCGTTCAACCTTCTGAAACAGAAAGAAGATGTGGAAAAAAAAAAACACAACAGAGAAAGGCACGGGGAAGTCCCTCCCTGCCAGGCTGCACAAGGCGATGCCACA